TTTTCCCACCCGGTGTCGCTCCGATCTGCCGGCGCATCGCGGAGAAAACCAATCGGGTGTCTGGATGCTAAATGTTTATACTTCTCATCCAAACACAATCACACTCACTGTCCGCATAGCGCCACTTATCTAGATGGGGTTTTGTGTTTGTGTTTTTGAACTGCGACAAGCCGGAAGTAACGAGGCTGTTTTTGTAAATGTAAGAAGTAGAAAGTACAGATATTTGCATGAAAATGTAAGGAGTAGAAGTAAAAAGTCGTCTGAAAAATAAATACTCCAGTAAAGTATAGATACCCAAAATTTCTACTTAAGTACAGTAACGAAGTAGTTGTACTTGACACCTCTGACAACACATCCTTTGAACTTCATCGCTGTGAATTCTGATATTTGCCTACCAAAATAGCATCACCTATAGCACCTAGTACTACATCGAATTTGTACTTCGTTACTTGACACCTCTGTAAAAAGGTAAATTCAAAGCCGCCCCACAGGAAATCGAAGCAGCCTGTCAAAGATGTTCAACACATCGCCATTTCTTTGAAAGGAAGGCATGCAGTCCAGATGAAACTTGAGAATACCTTTCAACTGATCTGGAGAACATTAGACTCGATTAAAAATACACAATTGTGACTGAAACAAAAAAAAAATTGTTGGCCATCTTCAGGCGTGTCGCCAATAATGATCAATTATTACACTTACAGAGAATATCATGTGGATAAAAATAACCCTTAACAGATTATTACATCATTCCTGACAATAGAACACTCACAATGTTAAAAGGCCCATGCCAGCAGGCAGGCGTGATGGTGCATGGACAATGGACAATTGTTTCCCCTTTGTGATTGACTCACAGTAAAGCCTGGCCAACAGTGTGCTAACCTAATCCACTCTGGACTGCGTTGAAACGACCACAGAAGCCGTATAAGGAAGAATATTGACTTGGGGTCATGAATGACACCAAATCAGGGAGAGAAAACAGCTGGGAAAAGTTGATGACCGGCCTCTAAGTATGCTTAACAAGAAATTCCCGTTTCTTGTCTCCCTTTTTTCTTGTCTGCAGGATTTGAGTTTCCGCATTAAAAAAAATAGCAACGACACAGAGAAAGAATGACCCGTGGATGAAACATCCAGAGCACAGGGACTGCGGGGGGGGAGGCACATGGCTGAGAATAGCTGTCTTCATCCCTAAGGGGCATCGCTGTCCTGTATTACTGCTGTCGCTCTGCCTTTTCGTTTTTCCAAAGCTGAGCACACACGATGCCGATGCTCTACCACCTCACCCTGCATGGGACCCGGCATGAGAACTGTCTCTGGTCCTTACTGCTGTCTCCTCCAAATATCTGCAGGGGAGGGGGGGGGTCTAAATATAACGATGACCACACAACGTTTTAGATGTCTTGGGCCAGCCAGAGAGCCGTTGTTTCCCAGAGTGGCAGTGCATTTTCAAAGGGAGGGGGGCGAGAGAGAGGGGGGGGGGGGGGGGTATGAGAGGACAGGAATGTCAAGGGAACAGTGTTCATAAACACTAAACCGCATGACCCAGCTGGGAAAGCTAAGGATTCATAATACCATTTGTGGAAAAGCTCTTATTTAGGTTAAAAAGTAACTGGTGCTTTGCATTTATAACATCTAGGAGTATTACGAAGCCTTTCCTTTACTGACATGTTGTTTCTTTAAATCCAGCTTGTTCCATAACCTGTTAAAAACCAGCCCATTTTTTAGGCCTCTGCTCAAATTTGCAGGACTATATCTCTGCAACCCCTCAAGTTTGTATTTTCTCATGTTCCAAATGATTTATTTAAATTGTACATCACTTATGGTGTTCAATACATCCACATACAGTACTTTGGGACTTTAGTTATAGATGCACATATTTTGATGTGGAATTACCAGGAAAAAAACATCTTTCTTAGTTAAACAGCTAAAAGGTAGAAGATATTTTTGACTATTGTTTGATAAAGATATTTCTGTTATTTGTGTTCTTTGGCTCTTACCTTGCCGATCCTTGACGTTGACGGGTTCAATGCATTCACAAACTAAGTGAGTCAATAACTCAGAAAGGGCAACAACTGTTACATTTCTTGTCAGAAGCTCAGAGAAATGATGCCGGGTTCAGACGCACACATTCCATTGGTTATGATATTCTAATGTTCAAAGTATGTTCACAGGCACAGAACCAGAGGACTACGGTCCACGTGGGAGGAACCTAAAAAGTAATTTCACTGGGAATCAACAGAAGGAGGTTAAGTATTTGGAGGGAAAATAAATCTAAAAAAAGACAAAGCAAAGAGATAATAGAGGGGAAATTCCCGATCCGCTTAATTTAACCTTTACACAAATGGCAAAAGACAAACAACTACGTGGGCCACACAGCTATCACTCATCTCCTCAGTGGGCATCTGTTTTCAGCCTGAGTGACCATTTGTAGGCTCAACAGTCATGTGACCTCAACATTACTAATGATAGAGTCGGGAATAGATTACGCTAATTAACAGACATTTCATGTAATACAAATTGTGCACCGGCCCCTGGCAGAGACTCCGTCTACAGCCCAAATCAAATGAATCATGACCTGATGGTTCCCAAACACACAGAGGTTTATCAAATTGGAACAGATAACAGCATGTAGGTGTGAATGTGACACCCTGTCCCTGTGTACCGCTGATTATCACCCACAGTGTGCTGTGATATCCCAGCGGACCTTATGACCCTGACCCAAATAAGACGCGCTATGTAAATGTCGTACTTTCAAGACGTTTCGAGACACAACGAACGGACCAAAACCGTGAAAAGACATTTCACGAGTCACACAACAGAGCTAAAGCCTCTCTGTCTCAGCAATGGTTATCAAAAGGCTTCAGTATCTTATAATAATAAAAGCTATTGAATTACATTTAATTGATGTCTCTCATGAGTGCTTTTGTTCACCAAACTGAACCAGAACATATGCAATACTACTGCAACACTTTCATCCATAGAAATATACTGTATGCCAATGATGCATCATGCGGTGCCCTAAGTGGGGGTTTACAGTATGAGAAATGACTTTTTCACCAAATCAGTAATAAGAAAAGGCTAATTCTGTCGACAGATCCTCTTTCACCGGCATAACAACTAAATAAGGGCTCACATGCTCTGCCTCACACGTGGCTCACATCCTGTTGGCATTGGACTGCGCAGGCAGATCATTGTTCAAGGGCACATTAAAGTCCCAGAAAGCTTCCTACAAAAGAAACGTTTAAAACATCCATTGTATAAAAAGTCAAACTGTCCAGCTAGATGTGGCTGTTTAAACACCAAACTTCGACGTTTCAGGCTGCTCTTTGATTTAATGAGGAAGAAATACAAAATTGTCACTATAAATAAGACTGATCGACAAAAGAGCACAAATCCAAAATTTGGGAACATATCTGCATATGGAAACTCAATTTTTGAAAGGTGGTATTTGAAACGTGGCATCACATTAAAAATTATGATGGGTGAAAAATTAAGCCATTTAACGGCAAGCACAAAGGAGGAGGAAATAACGGTTGAAGGGGCGGGTGTGTGCGAGGGCCCTCGCTCATGCTACGCATCACACAACCCTACAGCAACAATGCTGTCACCTTTCCGGTGTGGGGCTTCCTCCTCAAATCTTGAGAAGAGTGTCACACAATACGGGCTGAACATAGCAACAGTAGATAAAACACAAAAGCACTTTGTGGTCTGCATGCTCGCAGGCGCGTGCATGTCCAATGAAGAAAAAAAATATTACTCATCACTGTAGGAATCTTTTTCAGAGGCCAACGGCGGTGGACTGATTGATGATATATAATCATGTCTCCTTCAACGTCCTTCTCACGCCTTCAAACACAGGGACGAAGCTCACAGATTATTGACTTTGCATGTTTAAATGTGGGAATTTGGAGCACTTCGTTTCCTTTCCCTTTACCCTGAAACAAAAACCCCAAGAGTTGTTGTGTGTGTGTCTTTGTGTTTTTGGGGGGGGGGGGGGGGAGGGGGGCGAAGTACAATGACCACCAGAGATCTGGTAGAGAATGACCGATAAATCCTGCTGGAGATCTTTCCCTCAGTTCTTCTGTAACCCCGAACTCATTGCACGAGCCATAGAAACGCCCAGTTTAAAGCTTTCGAATGAACCCCGCGTGGCAAGAATTGACACATACAGACCAGTATCGAACTGGTTGGACGCTGTTGGGTTAAATCCTGCTCGCTGCGACGGGGGGAACCGCGTTCATCTCGATTCGCGAGCACAGTTCCTGATTCCGACACTTATCACCATTAGTCAAAATGCGGAAGTGGAGGATGTCAGGACGGAGTGTCAATGATTTCATACGAAGGCATAAACACACACCCGCGCGCGCCCCCACACACGCACGCGCACTGTCAGAGCGGTTGACCGAGGACAGCAAAGCGCATATTCTACCGGGGACACATTTACCATCTAGAGTTTATATAAGCCATTTTATAAATTCAGTAGAGAACGCGAAGAGTTATTTAAAAACATGTGACCCCCCCGAAGCGGAGCGCTCGGTCCCTGCTCGCGCCACTTAAAGGTTGACGAGGCAGCGCGTGCATTTGTGCGCTTACAGTAAAAACATTTCGGTTCCGCTGAAACGAGAGACACAAACGACGTTACGCGCGGGAGACGCGATGTAACGTTGACGGTGGCCACGCGGGAGAAGCCGTTACAGACGGTAAACAAAAAAAGCACACACACACAAAAAGGAGGTGTTCAGGGGACAGGTACAGTGTCCCCCCCGGTCCGGTGGCTCCGGGGTGAGCGGGTAACGGTCAATCGCTCACCTTCTGGCGGGACTTCCTACACGCAGAGACGAAGACCAACTATCCGCATTATGTCCCTCGCCGTCCAGGGAAGCCCTGTCAACGCAACGCGGCCTTCTGTGCCGGAGAACTTCGCCTTGCTTCGCCCGGGTATCGATCCGCATCGACGCTGGTCAACAAAAAAAATAAAATCGGACGCGCGTCCGAGTCCGCGTGCCGCGAGCTCATCGGAGGCTGGTGACGCTCGCGCACGTGGAGCGGCGGCACGTGCGCGAGCGCGCGAGCCTCTCGCTGAAGCGAAGTTTCCGAAGTGTAAAGGGCATCGTATGGTGTTAAAGACGGTAAGACGTGAAATTTACTGGTTTGCTTTAATATTCTTACTGGCATTATTAGTTAACGTGCAAATTCAAAGCTTTCCTTTCATAACGCTAACAGACGTGATGGAACACACTTATACAAACGTTTAAGGAAATGAAACGGCTACTCTATAAAACAAGAGAACTCTCGCGAGATTTTCGCGAAGTGCGAGATTTCGTTGGTATCCTAGGAGACAACGTCGGCGTGCAGCGTCCGCAGTGCGGAAGAGGCGTCGCGTTTTTGTCTCTGGTGATGTCTGTGTTCCCCACAGAGCGGCGGACACGATGGACCTACCGGATGCCATCAGGAAGCGCTTAGAGGACTTTTCTCGGAACGTGTTATTCGACCAGAGCGGGACTCGGACCGTCGCAAGAGAAAATGACACGTTTTTGCCCCACGGTAAACTACGAGTGGACCGTACTTGCGTTATCAGCGCCGAGGATGACGTAGTTAACCATCGATATGAACGTTTGTGTTGAGCTGCGGTTGAGGTAGCGTCGTTTTAACAGCCGATGCTGCTTCTGGTGTTGCTTTGTTTTACAGACAAGCGGCTTCTGTCGAGTCTCCACCTCCAGATGTCTCTGTACTTTAACATGTGGTTCTTCCCCTTGTGGTGGATCAGCGAAGCTGTAATGCTGCACCTCAAGGTGAGCCATGCACACGGAAAGTGAGAGACTGTGATGGTGAATGCTCTCAATAATGAATGAATTATTGCTAAGAGTAACAAAGTGACCTGCATTTGAATACATTTAAGTTAATTGTTGCTCGGTTTGTTTAACTGAATTCATGTAATTGTCATTTCTACCAGTATCCTGCCCTACCCGACTACTACAAGTTCATCCTGGTCACCGTTCTCATCCTGATGACTCTGATAGAGGCCATTAGACTCTTCCTCGGTTATTCTGGGAACCTGCAAGAACAGGTAATGCATCCCTTACAGGAACATAGATACAGTCGAAATAGAGATTATAACTCCTTTAATACCTGTGTTTGTGTTTAGGTCCCAGAGCTGGCTGGATTTTGGCTGCTCAGCATCCTGCTGCAGTTTCCACTAATCCTGTTTCAGCTCTTCAATGAAGCCATTCTTATACAACCCCTGGAGAGAGGTGTTCACATAGTACTCGCCATATTTATACTCGCACAGGTAATGTCAACTTCCTTTTTAAAGACAGAATAGATGTAAGTCATCGATTTCCAAACTGCATGCAAGTAAATGTACGTTATTTATTGTTTGGTGATTGTCATTTACTTCTTTTGACTGTTTATTGAATGTTCAGGCCCTCTCTGGTTTTGTGACGCTCCGGGACATGGTCCGACACACAGGAAGACAATTTCATCTCCGACAGTTTGACTGAGTTCTTCTTCACTGCGACACACACATCCCCCCTTTGTACCTCCCACTCGGAGGCTGATGACGAAAAAAAAATGATGTGTAACCTTTTAGTATTACATGTAGAACATTTTATATTCACTGTGCACGAATGAGTATTAATGAAAAAAGGTTGTGGACATATATTTTTATATATTTTATTGTAAAACCTTTTTCTGTAGCATTGCAATAAACAATATCTAAGAAACACACACAACAAATCACATTCTTCTTTATCCATCAGAGGACCTTCACATACCTGATCAGAATAATCTTAATCTGTCCTTGCCAGGTTCCAAATATTGTCCTCTACAGCAGAGCAGTCTGTGAGGATCTTGTGGTCGCTGCAGTAGTTATTTGGCTTTCTCTTCCGGGGTAATACTGCCTGGTGTTCTCAACCTGGAGCCTCCCATCGGTGTCCCTCTGTGGATGCGCAGGCTCCATCTTCATGAGGCCTGAGGGCCTCGACACTGGGGACAAAACACTCTGCTGCCTTTTGCCCTCCGAGGTGTCTTTGCATAGTCTGAGGAAATTGAAAAAAGGAAGCACAGGAAATATTTCAAGCACTGTAAACATTGGTTAAAAGGCATTATGCTTTTCTTCTAGCCGTTGCACAGAGATCAAGGTGTATTTCCCAGTATTTGTACCGCAATAGAAACTTGAGCATTTGACAGAGAGGGATCAAGACAGACAAAGAGAGAGTACACAAGAGGGTTTCTAGGGTAGGTACCTTCTCCCTCTCAGGTCTGTGCCCCCCAGGGGCACAAACACATTTCTGTGTGCTCTGGTTTCTCTCAGGAGGGCGACAGGAGCGAGATCCCTGTGGTTCTGCTCCCCGAGGTGGCCACATGTCAACAATGACAAACCCGCAGAAGAGACAGCGGTGAAACTGGACAGCCAACGCTTTGGGACACCGGTCGTAATCATCTTGCCGTACGTAGATGACGGAGGCCTGACGAAGAAGAACATAACATAACTTTAAAAATCTGAATGTGCCTCAACATGTGGTAAACGTCTCTTGTTGAGGACACAAAGTCTCCGTGTCTTGCCTGTGTGGCGCCGTAAGGGAAGGTGGCCGCACTGAAAGAGAAAGAAGAGTTTTACTGGAAAAGATGTACAATTTGTTGCATGCTTAAATTAACAATACATTTCGGACAAACCTCTGTAGTCTTCGTAGGAGGCGAAGGATCGCCGGGTGCAGCTGTGATTTGGCTTGTTACAATGCACAGAATTGGGCGACGGTGGAAGGAGAGCACTCACGTGCAGCAGCTGGGAGGAACACCTCCACTGTCCCGCGCACATCCGCGGGTCGCCTGAGAACGCAAGCCACGCACCATGTTCACTGCTCGACGGGACATTTCCTACTGCACCGATGATTCATGACTAAGTGCCGTCACGTGTGGAAGTCAACAGGAAATATTCACCATAAACTGCCTGGAAAAAACGATTTTTAAAGTCGTTGTGGATTAGGACACTGAGGGTGTGAGAAAGGCTGAGCCTCCTAAATGAATGTTACCCGACGTGTGGAGATGTGGACATGCTGCCGCCCTGTACACAGCTTTCATTTCTCCGTCTTCCTACTATGCAATAAAGCCCATTGGAAATAGCAGAGAGTCAAAAGTCAAAATGGCAGATCAACCTGGGTCTTTACCTTGACCGGCTCGCTGCCCTGCCACAAAGTCACCTGACTGACCTCCCCGGAGCGAGTGTTGGGAGGGGGGGATCGGCGCTTTTCCCATCGCGCCATTTGCCTTCACAAAGAAGGAAATACCAAAAGAGACAAGTCAAATCTTCTGCCCTCCCTCTGTGGCCCGGCGCTCTCTCCTGAACTCGTTCCCTCCCTCTGTTCGTACCTGCCCTTTCCTCCCGTGCCGTCCTACGGGCCTCTCTTGGGCGATCTCTTTTACTGCGTCCTCTCGGGGCAGCTTGGACTCCTGCAGAGACTGTTCACTAATTAGTCTTGTCTCCAGTCATTAAACAGGAAAGCCGTGTCGTGCTCTCATTTGTTTTGTGCCGCTCTGCCGGACCTTCGGCTGCGCGGCGTTTTGGACTCTGTCTGGGCGTAGCTTGTTCCTCTCTTTGCGACTCCTCAAGCATTTCTTTTTCTTTCTTCCTGGAGTTTGCTGCGGAGGAGAGAGGAGGAGAAGGTAAACCGATGTGAGAGAAGACGTCATTTAAAAACAGTGTTTTACAAAGTGATCAGGATTTGGATTGTTGGCCTTCTGGTTACAAGAAAGCCGTTTTGGAGAGTAGATCTGATGTCAGTGTACCTCTGCAGGAACAGCATGGGGCTGGTTCAGTAAATGAGCCGGGAGTCCGTCAGAATTGGAACTATTCGAACCACTGGTGCTGTGAATGCAAACGAAAAATATTCATGTATACAAGCTGCATGAGAGCACATATTACACATTCGCGATATTAAGTCTGTTTTGTATGTGTATTTATGACGATAGCAATGTGTCGCCATATCACCTGGTTTCCAGGTCAGAGACGGAGAAGTCGGTGCCCAAATCTTTGCCCAGCCTCTCTCTGACCTTCTTCGTCAACAAGGCCGCCAGCTCTGTCAGACAGAGGCCGGTCTGAATTCAAAAGCAGAGAAAGCATTAAAACGCACACACACACCAAACAAAAACAGCTTTTACTCATTTTATATTTTTGTGCATACAAATGAAAGGTTATGTGTACAACTCGTAGATGTGTTTTCTATCTCTGACCTTTGTTGGATCTGGGTCACAGTAGTCCAGCAGGGTGTCACAGAAGTAGAAACCAAGGGACTTCAGATCCCGAGTCATAAAGTGTGTCCCTCTTCTGTCACCTGTCATTCAAACGCATAATCTTAATACACACACACACACACACACACACACACACAAAACCCATTTGGAAGGTCTAAACTCACCCTGGGTGGAGCCTCCAAAGGTGGCCTCCATTGTGTAGCTGTTCTTGATGCCGAGTCTCCACATGGCAATGCGTCCCGTTCCCTCTTTGCTCTTCTGCACCCGGAACTTACAACTCTTAAAGGAGAACTAATGCCGAGGGATTTAGATGTTGGAGTTGTTATGTAAATAGGAGGACAATCTTACTCTGCGTATAAAGAGCATTTCCTAATCAGGGTATTTACCTTGTTACTGGCATTCTTGCTCATCATTAGTGGAAAGACTCTCTCCTGAAGCTTCAGCGAAGCATCGTCTCGATTGTTACAGCCGTACATTAAGACATTGTTTTTACGGTTGTGGCCGTGAAAGTCGCAGTAAAGAACTACATCCATCTCAGCCATCAGCCTGGAACAAAGATTACAGGGCAAGAATAGACATTGGTAAAAGTTATTTTTAATACATACTTGGAGAAACCACGTTGTAAAAGAAACAAGATTACGGTCATTTACAACATATTTCAGTAAGGCCGAGATCCTCCTTGTGGCAGTGGCAAGTGGGTGGCATCAAACTTGAGAGCCCCACCCCCTACACGGAACCCGCCGGTCCAAACCTAAAATTAGCCTCTGTAATAAGAAGACGGGGGCTCACGTGTCTCAAATAAAATTAAATAAAATTAAATATTTACAGCAGCTGACCTGTCGTACAAATAACAGTTGTTTCTGGGAAAAATTGGCTCCTCCCACCCAGCGTGCCGTCGTGACGCCGACTGATTTACTGGCGATTGCCGCTGCCTGCCACAAAGTTGCCACCCACTTGCCACTGCCACAAAGAGGATCTCGCTGTCACTCACATATTTGCTATAATAACGAAGATTTGTAGTGTTTCATAATTTGTTTGTTTACGCACGTGTACTTTCATACCTTTCCACCATGTTTCAGGTGTGCCACACACAGGGAAAGGAATCCCTGAGTGACGTCTTGTAGTTCCTGTTGAGATCCCTTCCTGCCAGAGAACAGCGGTAATTACCCACTATGACACCATCAGGGTTCAGCATAGGAACCACCTGCAGGTCCATGGATCCAAATGAGAAAACCGCAACGTTCATAATGACGAGACTGATGTGAGACTCTGAGCTCGAGGTCCCTGACCTTGAAGACAAAAGTGTCCCTCAGCAGCTGAGCGTCCTCCGAGTCACCAAGCAGGAAGTCCAGGAACCCCTCCATCATCAAGGATCCGTTGGTTTCTCCGGGGTGCACTCGGGCCGTCACCACGACGGCCTTTTTGCTGCTCGCCGCCCTCCTGCCGCCCCCCCGGGACGTAATCGTCACCACGTATACAGCGTTCCCAGCGAGGCTGTGGCACAGCACCCGCAGGGTACAGTATGACGCAACTGCTGAGTTGGATGAGATGTTCCTGAGGTAGCGCTGCAGGTGGGAATAGGTGTAGGGGTAGCAGTGGGCCAGGTAGCATGTGTCCGAGTCATAGGGGAACTGGAGAGTCCACGTCAGTGAGTATGCGGCGATTGCGTTGCTGTTGCGGTCCTCTGCGTTCTAAGCAGAGACAGAAATAGTGGGGGGGTTTTAAGTGAGGTCCTGCTTTGTCAATTATATTTTTAAAATATCTGGAGTTACGTTGTTCTCGTGTGCTTTCTGCACTCACTATACAGATCTCAAATCATACAATAAGCAATAAACATGCTGGAAAACTACAAAACAACCAGGTAAATTACAGTCAAGATGTCATTTTTTATGTTGCACCATGTCAGGAAGTTCACCCACCCGACTGCAGCTGCGGTAGTATCTAATATTTGAGCCGGCGCGCTGCCATCCGACACCTTTGTCGGCGGCCCTCTCGGAGTAGAGCAGTGGTCTCATGCCGTGAGAGTACAGGCTGCTGCTCTTCATCAAGTTGATGATACTGAAGCGGTATGTCACTCCAGCCTTCATGTTCCTGACCCTGAAATAAAACCACTGCGTGTGCTTTCTGGTGTACATGTCTGTGCGCAGGGTGAGCTCGTAGTCATAGTCACTCCTGAACAGGAAAGAAATATGGGGGGGCAGAGAGTATAACTAAACTACTTGAATGGATCAAATGTACACAAACGATTGAAAGGCGACTTCGGGTGCAGGACTCACACTTGCACAGCCTTCTGAAGGTTCCCACTCTCAAAGCGGGACTCAAACTCAAGAGGGAGGTCCGTCTGGTTTATGGAAGAGGTGGCGCTCTTAGTGGGCCGCCTGCTTCCTCCGACCCGGGAGCAGGTGAAGTAGGAACGCTTAGTGGCTGGAAAAGAAGTGAGAACAACGTGAACAGAGTAAATGTGAACAGCCCAAACT